ATAATTGGCTCTACAAATGTGATTTTGGTACATGAGCAGTTTTCAGGATTCAAATCAATTAGTTACATCAAAATGTACTAGGCTCGCAGCTGTAGATGATTTAATCTCTTTCACATCTCCGATCTCTTTGAACCATTAGCTGGCACATTCTGACCTCCTGGTACATATAAAGTACTAATTCAATACTGCTTTATATTCTTATATTTGCAGTAGCAGTCTTCCTATTTATTTATATATATTATCAATTGATGCGGTAAGTTATAATCATCTTGATAAACAAATACTACAGTTAGACAGATTGAAATAATAAAGCATAGATTTAAACGAAGCAAGAAGAACACAATTACTAAATTAATGTTTAAGGTTTGGCTGTAGAGTGATAGTTGAAATCTTATGTCTCTCGTGGAAAGTTTTAATTGACATTTTCTACAGTGTCATTTTGATCTTACTTATTTTCATTTCTATAGTTGTCAATTTACCAATAATTATCTACACTAATATTATAAAGAGGAAAACTTTGTTTGTTTGGTTGTAATGAATAGGCTCAAAAACTACTGGACCGTTTTTAAAAATTCTTTCACCATTCGAAAGCTACATGATCCACGAGTAACATAGGCAAAATTTTATTTTGGAAAAAAATAGGGTTCCTGAAAATATTTGGGTTTTTCGGGCACAAAGTGTAAAAAATCAACCAGAAAAGTTACTTATTTTGCGTACGCTGCCTAAACTATAAAAGATAGAAGCATAAAATGTTCTAATTAATTGGAGATCTTATAAATATCTACAAAAAAGTCCGCGACACACTATACCTATCTATGTCGAGTGAGGCACAACAACCATTTTTTTATTTAAAAATCTTAATTTTTTTTTGGACTACATTTAAACGCATTTATTTTACTCATGCTATTAATCCTTACCAAAATAAATTATTTCATCACTAAGTACAGTTTATGTAGATAATATTTGGTATTTAAAAGATTAAAATTGGACGTTTGGTTTTGAAGTTATGGCGAAATTAAAATATTACTATTTCTGCGTTGCGAAGTGGGCGTCACCAAGGCGGGGGTGCGAGTGCGGGAGGGGAGTTTAGATCTATGAGTAAGGCTCCTTACGCAGCGGTCGTGCGCGAAGTCTAATCATTTTCGTTCGATTTTTATTAGACTTCATTCTTAAAACACACTAAAAGTTCTTCTCAGAGCTAAACAACAGTTCTTCTCAGAGCTAATCAACAGTTCAACAACAATCAATCAACTTTGGACATCTGTTCAACATTTGTATTTGCGCACCAACATGAGAGCTCACTTACATGGAAATGCGCATAGCAATTTTCCACAACAGCTGCTGAAACTTGGAGAAGGAATTTTTCCATTTTTAAATTTGGGCACCAATTATGCAGTTACTTTAGATGAGTCTCTAGGCCAAATAGTCCATAATTTAGATAGTCTGATAAATGCTATATATCCTGACATCGAAAACTTACACCAAAATGATTTTCGTTGGCTGTGTTGTAGAGCAATAGTTTCTCCCAGGAATGAAACAGTCAACGAAATAAACAATTTAATTATGCAGAAAGTACCGGGTGAAGTTAAGTGCTATAAATCCATAGACACCGTCACTAACATCGAGGACGCAGTACACTATCCCCAGGAATTTTTAAATTCTCTGAACCCCGCTGGGCTACCACCTCATGAACTGTCGTTAAAAGTAGGCACGCCGATAATGCTTCTCAGAAATTTAAACCCCCCTAACATGTGTAATGGCACGAGACTTCTTATAAAGGAGCTAAAAGATAATTTAATAGTAGCGAAGATTATCACCGGCCCTGCAGCTGGTGAATTAGCTCATATACCAAGAATACCCATGATTCCTACTGATTTGCCTATACCCTTCAAAAGGCTCCAATTTCCAGTAAAAATTTCTTTCGCACTAACGATAAACAAATCCCAGGGGAAAACATTCAAATTAGTAGGAATTGATTTACGAAATGGGTAACAAAATCACGGGTCGGGGCTCCCGACCATCAGTATATTTTGTTACCAGAAAATAACTTAACGTCTAATGTTGTTTATAGAGAAGCTCTACAATAATCGCTTTATTTATCTATCCTAAAACAACCGGGTTACACTTCGGGACTCCCGGCAGAAGTGAAAACTTAGTATTAATTACATTTAAATATTTTCATCATTAACAACTTTAACATCGTCATAAAGACAATCTATGCAGCCTGTGGATAATGATGATGTCGTTAGTCCATCTTTCGTGGCAAAACGGAGTGATGAATTGATGTTTTTTTTTTTAAGTGGAGATAGTTAAATAAAAGGATGGACAGTGACATGGGCTATTTACCACCTAACGAAGTGGGTGCGGGTCAGCTAGTAATGAATATAGTTAATACTTCGGTATTTTATAGATTACGCGTATAGTATTCACTGAAATAATCACTTCTAACGGTTCAAAATGCGAAATATATTGAAGAACTGAAGATGGAAGGTATCCAACTGATTTGACATTAACGACACTTCATCTTTAGTCCCCTCGTGACGCTGCCGATATGAGGTGAAAACGTCGAGCTGTAGGTAAATTGTAAATAAGTTCACTAACCTATTTCGTGTTTTAAACCGTTAAAAATGTAACGTTCTAATGTATAAAGATATAACAAAAACCGCAGAGAATCCTATACTAATATACATAAAAAAATTGTGTTCATAAATTCGACATTGGACAAAGTGTTATAAAGTATAAAATTATGGTAACAAGCTATTAATTTATATATACATAAACATAGTTAGCTCTAAAATCCCTGTCATTTACCTCGTCAAAATCATGTAGTATCGCGATCGAAATTGAACTCCAATTTCGCCGTAATCCCATTTCGCTATAATGCTAACAGACTAAAAGTAATCAAAGTATAATATTGTGATGGGATGTAAGCCATAACGATAGATTGCCTCCATTGTGCAGTTATTGAGCATCTCCTGGCGATAAGTGTGATAGACTGGCTATAAATTGCCATCCTTTTATTCCACAGTTGTCAAACTAGATTCGCGCTATGTGTACAGTCGTGACACATGAGTACTTTTAAAACTATCATTACGTTTACGTTAAAATGCGCAATTATAGATTAAATTTTGTATCATACAAAGTTTAATGTCTCGATTTTTATTTTACTTTAAAAAAGGGCCCATGCTCAATCGTGGAGAACAGCACACCCTGTGTTCGATTAAGGCCTTAAATCTTATTTAAGGCTTCTATGCCACAACCACGTAAAAGTTATATCTTAAAGATTTAGTGGAAAAAAACAGTCTACGGCCAATAGGAGCAAAGGAACAGAGGAAAGCAAGTAGTACGACCCTGCGAAAATGGTTTAAGATAACAAAAAAATATAAATGTATAGAAAAAACTATGCTCTTCAAATAATCTTTAAAAAGTCGCAACAATATGTCTATCTTAGATTAACTCACAAGCACCGTTTTTATGGTAATTTCATTTAGTCAAAATATTTCATATGGCAAAAAAACGTTTGCCAGGTCAGCTAGTCTAAATACAGAAAGAAGAGTGTAGAAAAACTATTTAGTTTAATTCATCATCCATTCATAATTAAATTAAAATTTGTGTATTTATAACTTATACTATATTTTTACTTGTTTAATTGTTTATTGCTTTCGAAATTGGCTTTCTCTCTCCTTTATCCTTTTGAAAAAGAGAAATGCAACGTACGTTAAACAAATTTTCCAAAATCATTTTTAGAATACTATACTTGAAAACTTATTATTACTTATTATTTTGACATGTTATTGCACATGAAGACACCAACTCACTCGTCACTCAACGTGACTCGGTAGCTCAATTGGTAGCAACAGCACGGAACGCTGACGATGCCGGTTCAAGTCCTGCCCGAGGCGAAAAATTTTTAAATTTATTTTCAATTTTTAAATAATACTACACTTTACAATACACCATAACCTTACCCTACTCAGTCTAAGCTCTTAGGTCAAAGATTGTTAAGTTGCGTAATTTAAACTTAGCGGCCCTTTGATCTCGATCAGTTGGGGTTGTCACCCTGCTATTGTCGATCTTCGAACTGTCCGCTTAATGGGTTTCGGCTTTGCGGTTATATCTGGAAGCAAATTATGTGCAAATCACTCCGGACCTACCGCCATTAAGTTATAATTGTAATTGCTTTGTTAGCAATTCATCGGGAGTACGTTATTAATTTGTGGGTCTTTGGGTTGATTTTAATTGGATTATATCAATGCAAAATGCTATTGTTAAAATTCGACACAGGAGTGGCTTAAACTGACATTAACCAATTGAGCTAACGTGTCACACATGCCATCGCATTTTCTCAACCTTTTGTTTTAATCGTTATTTATGTACCGCCTCTAATTGCATGGTGGTAATAACACCTAATTCCATGATTATTATTACAAATACCAAAGTATTATTTTTCAGTATTCCATTTTTAAAACCTCTTGTTATTTATAGTCAAGCTCACTATTGACTAGACATATGAAATAGTTCCAGACTTTACTTTTTCTAAATCAACCAAATTATAATCTTTATTTGTTAATATTTGATCTATTCATACACATACATAATTCTTTAAATTCATTTGTAATTTGTTCATATTGTATGTAATATCTCTTAAACATTAGACTTATCTTTTTCAGTACTCTTCCAAGAAGCTTTTTATCTTCATTTATCAAACTACATTTGATATTAACTTATTTCTTTATTTCTAGTCCATCTTGAATGATTGATATTTTTTATCTAGATACAGTTATCTAGAATATTCTCTAATAGTTTGAAAAATACGATTTTGAAAGAAATAAATAAAATTTCTTTGATCTTATTATAGATAAATATTATTTTTCTACTGATGTTATTATTAGTTCACAATGTTTACAGATGAAAAGATTCGCTTGTGACTTTATTTTGGTTATATAGAACATTCTATTTAATTAAATATCATTAAATTAAACATTTTATTTGTATTAAAGGTATCATGGGTTCGTCACCGCGACATCCACCTGCTAACAGTGGGACGGTACACGTACACGTCTGATCAGCGGTTCGAGGCGCAACACAAGCCGCGCTCCGAGGAGTGGGCACTGCGCATACGCAGCCCGCAGAGGCGCGACTCTGGCCAGTACGAATGCCAGATATCCACCACGCCACCTATAGGACACGCCGTATACCTTAGCATTGTTGGTAAGTCATGCTTCATGACGTCAGAATATTTCGTATCTTTCACAAGTTTTCTTTTTTATAAGTAAGTGAACATATCTCCATAAAAAAAAGTTTAGAAACATATTTTAAATACTATACTGTTTTTAACAATTGTATTGTAATTTTTGCATATCATGACATTTAAATTAAAAGTCTATTTAGTTTGAAAAAGGTTGATAACACGGTAGTTCAATTGGCTACTGCAGTCGGTTCAAGTTCGCCCGAGTCGTCAAAATTTCCAAGCTAAATAGCATTTCAAATTATACCATACATTTTCTCAAACTAAAATGAAAGCTTATATCTAAACTAATAGTTTACAAGCTCAATTATTTTATTTAAATTGAAAACAGGTGTCAACTTTGATAAATGTCTTACGGACTTAATTCATCTCAATACATAGAGACCACATGACAGCAGTAATTAAAATCTCACTTCAAGCTCTATTTCTGTTTTATACACTCGACGGTTAAAATTATAAAATAAACCATTTTCTAACATTAATTTCTGAGGCAAACTACTCTCAAGTACGTTATTAGAGTGTATAATAGACGTCAGAAATAATGAACTCCTTTCTTTTAACGCACTTTTGAATGAAAGAAAAGAGTCTAAAGGAAAGCAAAGGTGTTCAGCCGTATAAAATTCATGTGTTAATTAAGTAATGTTAAAGTTTTTGTTTGCGGTCTAGACTGTGTATAATTTGATTTGAATATATATATTTTTTTCAATCTAAATCGATTTTTAATCTATATAATTTAACGTCATTTATAGTTTTAGCCGTGGAAAATATTAAATCTTCAGACGTAATTTCATCCTTGAATAATTTCTTAATCTGCAAAGAACGTACAACAATGAAATCTCAATAAGTGAGTAATAAGGTTCAAATTACATTGCGCAAGAGGTGCATCTCATGTATCTATGGCGTAAAAAATATTGACAATCATGTGTAAGAAATCGAGCCCAATCGGTTGAAGCAGCAGCACGGATGGCTCTGGATGCCGGCTCAATTCCCGCCTATGCAGTAAATTATTTTATTTAAATAGATTTTTTTTTAAAAGGAATCATACACGTAACTTAAAATATTGTATGTGACAAATACAATTTGATTGTAGAATGTTTGAAAAATATTCAGGTTACGTTCAAAGGGGCTTAAGACTTTCAGCTACATATTATAATATTAATGCGTGTGATGTTTGAACGGTTATATTTTGGAATTTGTACTTTAGGATGTGTAGTGTTAATTTTTGAAACCTTACTTTAAATGATATGTGTGTTGCATGTAAAACTCTGTAATTATCATATTTTTCTGTTTTATTTCCTTATTCCTGATTTCCGTTGTAATTAACAAATCAACATATATTTAACGGTTAGTAATATTTAATCGCAAAATACATGTTTTTAATCATTGTATATACTGTATGTATAATAAGACTAGACTAACTAAAGATCTAGACAATTAATAACCTAACTTTTATTCTAGAACCAGAAACTGAGATAATGGGAGGTCCTGATTTATTTATCTACGCGGGATCAACCATTAACCTTACGTGCATAGTGAGGCATACACCAGAACCACCAAACACTATCAACTGGAGCCATAGAGGAAAGGTAATTATTTTTGCAACATTGGTCGTGCCGAAAGGAACGTTCAGACTATAGAGTGTAAACAAAACAATAAAGATGATTGTGATAAGATCGTTGGTCTAATGGAAACATTGTATGGTTAATAATCAACGGGTCAAGGTGTTCGATCGACTCTAGGTCAGAATTGCTTCTAATCAATCTATATTTTATCTAAAATGATAAAAATCGTCAGGAAATCTAGAATTAAATAGATGGTATGGTATATTGGAATTCCGTCCAGGTAACGAAACACTGTCTACATTAAAAGCTTTCAAAAACTTTAATCGCCTTTCGGTTTCAGCCAGATTGGGTTCGAGAGAAAGAGGTAATTTCTGAATAAACAAAGCGAAGACATGTAAAAAAAAGCCGGACTGAGTTTTTTGGGTGTTCTTCTCACTTATGTTGCTCTTTTGAACACTCTGTAGAATCACGACGAACAGACAGACAAACAAAAAGCTTTTAACGAATCTAATTTTTTTTTTTTAATTTATAAGGAAAAGAAATATAATTTATTTTATTTTATTTTGAAAATAGGTCGATAGCTCATCTTTCATTACATGAACCTCATGCTTGTCTGTTCTTCTGAATAATTAAAAAAAAAAAACATTTCGAAGATGATTCGGATGCTCAGCCTACAAGAGCAACGGAGCCTATGCATATGAATTATTTTCATCGTTTAATTTAGAATTCTATTTCAAATTATCTTCGTTTTATTAGTAAATAAATCACTCGATTAAAATACTAAAGTTGGCTAAGCCATGATGTCAAAAACAAGTTCTAATGACTAGGTAGCTTAAATGACAAAGGGTAGCTGTCCTAAATCTGTTCGCTAGCGGATTCACTAATGCCATTATAATGTCTAAGAAAGATTAATGAAGAGTCTAATGAACAAACTTCGTGGACATATTTAGAGACAAAATACCCGTGGATAGTTTTAAAACTCATTTGCGACTGCATTCCACTGTTTGTTTACTTGACGAGGCAATTTAGAGGCCGCAAACATGTATTCCAGTCGAGTTTATTCAGATCTATTAATATCAGTTTTGTAGATCACTCAATTCGTGGTGTTTGTTTTTATACATTGTTATTTTCGATCGTAAAAAAGATTGGAGTTCGATAATCAAGACATCCGTATATAATTTGATGTAAAGGAAAACTTCGTGTTGACATCGATATGTACTAGAAGCAAGTATATGAATATAGATTATAAATCTTTCTCTGATTAGCGTTTCATCTGTGGGAATAGTCCTAATTGGGTTGAAAAATTATGGTTTAATAATACCATATTCAAATTACACCCACTAAGTGGAAATAATAAAATATTTAAATTGTAAATGAAACACAGTGATCCGTTTTTGCAGCGTACGCCTCGGAAAGCCAAAAACATAAAGATTTTTTCTATTTTGTTCACATTTCTCGCTGTATCTTTGCTTGTATTAGTCACAGGGCGATGTTTTGTAGACTTCCCTAACCTACCAACCAACATACGAATTTCTCATGCGAATCCACAGTTCCTGAGATTAGCGCGTTCAAGCATACAAACAAACTCTTAGGTTTATATATTATTATAATTCGATATTCGAAAGAAAACATTTTTTTCTATGCATATAACGTAATTTGTATACTACTGACGGTCAAAACACACAGTGAAAATCTGTCAAAACACCAATTCTAAAACGCTATGTAAAATATAGTGATCGAATAACACAGGTTAATTACTGAGATGGCAAACAGCGAACCCTGCCAAGTATCCGAGCCGTTTAGTGTTTTCCGAGGTAAATTCTGAACTCATTAATGAAATTGATTCATCCCTCCTATTAACCTGCAAAACTGATTTGAGCTAACAAATCTATAAGCGATAATCGGAATAGCTTGAAAAGCTATTTTATAAGTTAAAAATCGATCATAAACAAAAAAATAACGATACTTGAACCAGCATCCACTGCCTTCCATGCTCTTGCTCAGTTAAAGCAACAGTACTTATTTATATATATATTATATATATATGTATAGAATAAAGTTGAATGCAAGTGAAAAACGGATTATTAAATCTTTCCAACAAATGTAGCCTCCCTTTTTAAGCCAATATATTTAAAAGTATTCTCATCACAATTTAAAAAGATGCACTCTCATGAAATTGTGACGTCGAGTAATTTATTTTCAAGAATGCAAGAGCTCTGGTTTCAGCGAATATTCGAATTCATGTAACGTTCAAAATAGACTTATGACGTTAGCTATGTAGCAAAATTGAATACATACTAATATATAAAGCTGAAGAGTTTGTTTGTTTGAGCGCGTTAATCTGAGGCCAAATGTATTTTTGTGTTTGCTAGGGTATTTACTAAGAAAGGTAATGGGCTATAAAATATCGCACTAACTCATATGAGCGAAGAAACAGCGGTAAATGTGAAAAAAAAACGGGGGGACGTATTCATCTTTGCAGGTTTCCGATGCGTATCATGCAAAAACGGTTGTAGTAGAACGATTTTTCTTTAAATTACGGGAACAGTTTAATTTTATAGAGATGAAGAGGAAGTTTGCAAAAAACAAATTTGAATGCCCAAAATAACTATCACTAACATGTAACTCATAAATGAAAATAAACATTCCAAAGAAGCGATTGTATAATTCAACATTTCTGTACGTCGTTTAATAAATAGCTTCCGCAAAGTAAAACAAAAATAACCAGAACAAAACCTATGAATCACAAGCTACAGATTTATTTCGGAGCGGTCATATAAAAGTTTCTAAAATCGATTGTTGTCAGTTTGCACAGTTGTGTCGAAAGAATATTGTTTTGATCGGTATTGTATGTCCCGTGTTCTATATTCGGAAAGTGGAATTGTAGAAATTCTTGTTCAAAGCATCGCAAAAGATTAAAATGTACCCACAAATATGATAGAAATAATGGTCTTTGAATTGTTGAAAAAGTATTTGTTGTAAGTTTAACATCGTATTTAATAAAACTGTTATTTATTGTTGTTATTACAACTCCAGCTATAAATAACAATTTTACTACACCTATATCGTGTTTACTCTGATTGATAGTAGCAAAAAAAGCAGAATGCATATTCAGTATAATATATCTTTTTACTTTCACCAGAAATCAGATCGCTTGCCTGATCTAAACATTCTAGTATAAAAGTTTGTATCGACTTTTTTTTTAGATTTCAGTCTATTATCGATTGTATCATTAAAAATGCCAATTCATAATAAAACAAATTTAATTGAAAATATAGTTATTCAGTATTAATATAGTATTTTTTGTTAGAACTGTTTCATATTTGATAAGTAACTGTTAAGTATTTATACAACCATACAATAGTTTCTAGAGCTATTACTAGAATTAGACCAATATGTCATTCCTTAGTAAATAATTGTTCATGGTCGTAAGTTTTAAATCCATTTAAATTTAACATTTATAAAATGTTTTATTTAAATGTGAATTTCTCTATAACTACAAACAATTCTTTATAAAATCCACGTTTCTTTTCAGACAATAAACTTCGATTCAACGCGAGGCGGTATATCATTAGTGACAGAGAAGGGAATCCACAGCAGCAGCAGGCTGCTGGTGCAAGCAGCACGTACGTCAGATGCCGGTGCGTACGAATGCGTCCCCGACAACGCACAGTCTGCTTCCGTCAGGGTTCATGTATTGACTGGTGAGTTTCGTATGTACGAGTTATTGAAATTCATAATAAGATACGAAATAGTACCTATTAAGATCTAGGCGTAATCAAATTTAACAATAGTATGGAAAATACTGTCTGTAGATTACGATAGTAACGATTGAAGGGTACACCGTAAAATATTAGTTAAACTTAATACGAATCTATTTTAACTACAACCCTTTAACGGTTTAAAACGGATATATTAATTAAACTGTTTTGAAATGTTTTTGTAATAATAATTAATAATTGTATGTATACAATAGTTACTTTGAGAAAATTAGGGGGTTTTGATTTAATTATCTTTATAACTAATTGTATCTAATGGTATCGGATTTTAGTAAAATTTAATGTACAATATATATATACCGTTAATTTATCGTACGAAAAATATAGAAGATCCCCTGTTTTTCAAATTAAAAATCTACGCTCATTTAAATGTTTATATCATAGGACCAACAACCACCACGTTCTTCATACTGTTTATTTGTTTAACCAATAGAGTTGCCGTATGCTATGTCAAAAGACAATAAGTATTTTATTTGTTCTTCTCGTGAAGTTTAAAATTTTCTTAAAAAAACACACACACAAACAAATAGCAATGTCAAAAGACGCGTATAATAGTGTATAATCTCTAAATACAAACACAAAAACATTACGGAGCCAGTTTTTAATGCAGTTTGCTTAGGTAAATATATTCGCGTACAAAGAGCCATTTCCTCTATAAAAAAGGGATGTAAGAAAACCGCGCACTGAAACTAAAAGCCTGTATAACGATGGCGTACGAACATGTCAACATGCGGCTGTTCAAAGAGATTGGAACTGCGCAAAGCATCGCCAAGAGGATTGCAAAATATATACGGTAACAGGCCTATTGTGGGGCAAAGTGCTTTGTGTGGGACGTGGCTATATTATGTTTGATTGCTTCGTTATTCGGGCTTTTATATAGAGAAAATAAACCTAAATAATATATATTAAAAATATAATAAATTGATTAAAATTACATGGCACAGGCGAGAGTTGAACCGACATACATCGCTGTGTATTAAGAATATCGTTTACGGATAATTTAATTAAATTTTCTGTAAAGTAAATGAATGTCTTCTATTTTTAACTGTATTGACGTTAAATACTGTCTATTGTTTACGCGAGTAGTACTCGAATCGAAATCGAGAATACGCGAAATATATTAGTTAAACGTTTTCGGTTGCTTGCCCACGCCACGACTAATAAACCGTTAAAATTTTTTATTTAAATGTATTAACGTTTTTAGGTGTTTCTTTTACTTGCCTATATGAAAAACTTAATGTTGACTAGGGATCTTATTTTGTAGTTACAGATTGAGTCGCAGGTGACATAGAAAAAGAAAGAAAAGTATGGACATGCTTTGGGTGCTCTGTGAAACACTGTAAAATATTATATTCACTGATATTCTCATTAATAAAGTCAATATTTTTGCTATTGTACTATAGGGTAAGCTAAAAAAGTAGTTGGAATACAAGTTAAGTCTAATGCCTTTTAGCACGAAGTTAAGTGTAGTCGTTCGATTATCGACGTGAATTATAATTATAAAATGACATTTAAAAGGTGAGCCTATATGTAAACGAAACGTTTGCAAACGAAAACTACAGATATTTATTTACTTTATCTGGATTTTATTTTCTGTTATTTTGTCTTCATCAGAGCAGAAATTTCTAGCGCACAGGAAGAGTTATTTGTCCAGCTTTTCAAAATGTTATTAAGCCCCGCTAAAGCAATAAAAGTGAATATAATTTGACCGGTTAAGTAAATAGCGCGGGTGGCTGAACATTTGGCAAGATTGGAACAATTTCAGCCCGATGTCCAATGATACGTGAAAACTTCTATTGCCATCGGTTACCGCTCGACGCTTTTCATATTTTCCTCCTCAAACACAATTTCCCTTACTTTTTATCTTGCGATACAAAATTAGACATCCATCGTTACCTTTATGTGATAGAGGTAGATAGACAAGCAGGGGAATCATTTGATGCTCCCAGTCATACATCTAAACATTTATTCAGATTTCCAGACGAAGTTTAACATGTTTATATAATTATAAATTGATTAAGAGACGTTGGTTAAGGTAGGGATTGACGAGCCCATGGTTATTAGTAATTCATTGTTACTATTATACAACAAGGACGTCATACTATAGTTTAGTAGCTGTGCCAGCGAATTCATCCGCGTGGAATAAGTATTTCAGCCGTCCGAATTTTTGCAAAGCCTCTGTTCATCTTTATAAATTTAAGCTGTTATCAATGACGTCGTTCACGTGCGGTCGTTTTTCAAGTTAATCCTAAAAGATAGATATATAGAGTGCTGCAAACATTTTTTTAGATTATTTTGAGAGGAAACATTCTTTTATAAAAATTGTTTGGTATCTTGAACCGTTTTCGCAGTGTACGCACCGGAAACCCACAAAAATAATTTTCGCCCCGTTCTTAGCTCTAATCAAAACAAGATGAATTTTTGGCTGTCCACCTCTATAATAAAAAAAATGACTTGCCTTAGTAATAGTAGCTTAAAGCTTTTAACATATCAATATCAAACTCCAACCAACGCCATAAGATAATAAATTTCATTGCAATATGTAGTCAAACAGAACGTAAACTGAACTAAGGCGTAGTTCGCAATTTCCAGTTCGGAACTTAGTTTATTCGATTCGAAAGTGCATTCCGAAGGCTAAAATTCCATTTGAAACATTTCAATCGTGTAGTCAGGCCTTTATAAGTTTTCACAGACCTACGATGGCCTTAATCCATCGACTGGTTTATCGCAGCTTGTGGTGAATGAATGTTGCGTGTCTCTTTTATCAAGATCAATATTAACCCCTAGATTAGTTCTAATTTTTAATTACTTTTGACGGAATCGGTAGCGTTACGGTAGCAATAAATGTATTCAAATAATCAACGGGCCATGGGTTTGATCTCCACCGGCTCCAACATCTACTCAATCAAGAATAAAGGTGGTAAGATATCAGAATTCTATCCGGGTCACAAACCATTGTCCACAAATAAACAGCCGTTTCAGTTTGTGAATATTCAAATATCCAAAGCGTAAATGCTTCGACTTCGCATTTTGTTTAGATGTGTCATGGTTTGTGTCAGTCCTCCTTTATTCTTATAAGACGAACATTCCAAGACACGTATAGTAAAGTTCAGTTACTATACGTGTCCTTACCGCTTAGCCTTACAGTAGTTCATCCTACTAAGTGAACATGTGAGCCTTTTTTATATGACAAGAAACAAAGAACAATAGGAAAAACACACACAAACAATAAAGGGAAAAGTAGAGTCAATATTTTTCTTTTTCCACTTAAAAAAGTATAGAATATTATATATTGTTAACATACTTTTAACGGCTTTAAACGTGAAATATTTCGTGACACGGCTGCTGCAAAGCGCGCAGAACATCGGACCATGGTTACAATTATTTAAATATCACTTACTATTTCGCGTTTAAAAATGGTTAATTTATAAAAACCCATGTTTATACCAGTGTGCTCTGGTATATCTCCCATAACAATATCATTCCCATCCCATATCTACATTTTCAGATTTTTCAAAATAACAAGACTTTAATTTTCTTTTCACCTCCTTATATCTTAAACTCCCCAGAGCAAGTTTTTCAGTGAAAACGTTAATAGATATATAGTTTCTCAGTAGTATTTTTATTGCTATTAAATTATATTTAAAAACAATAAATATTTGAAAACATTAATATTTTTTCACATGTTATTGCACATGAAGGCACTATATAATTTAAAAATCGAAAATAAATTTAAAAAAAATTTACGATTTTTAAAATAACAATAAATATATTTTACCGAGTGTCCCTGAAATGATTGAAAATATAGCAACATTCAATCCAAACATCTCTCAATCCCATAAGCGTAACGTACTCCGCTAAAAAATAAAATTCAAATGGCAAAAACGTGCATTTTTTGCAAACGACACATCACAAATTGAATGAAAAGCGTAAAACAATTTATTGCAGTACATTTTTTTATTTGTATTTTTTAATGCGATTCAAATTTTACACTGAATTTAATTTTGATGCACGTCGATGCGTCGGTTTCTCGCTACATAAAGCTTTAGCGCCCATTTATTTCCATTTTGTGTGGAATGCTTAAGTTAAGTGTTTCATGACTGCCATTCATAAAGTTAAATATATTTATTATTCAGATAGTAAAACTGTATAAGCGTAATTTAAATTCAGGGCTGGATATCTTAATCGGGCTTTGATAAAGCTTTAGGGCAATTTTTATTGCTTGATCAACATAATATTTCTATTACCATATAATTAGTTGAAGTACCAAAAGTCTAGGAACAATAATGCATGTTTTGGAGGGTTTTGGTTATCTAATTCGAATTTCAATGGATTCCATTTATCATCTTGTTTTCATACAATTCATACTTACTTCGGAATTATATAGAGCTGCTGATAAAAAACACTGTATTATTAAATCTTCTGTTACCTATATTTAGATACTAGCTGTGTCAGCGAATTTTAAGCGTTATTTTGGGCATCCAAATTCGTTTTTGAAAAACCCCTTCATCTTTATAATCTTGAGCTGCTACCCACGACGTAGGTCGCGTCCCTTCCCGTCGTTCTTGCAAGTTAATCTTATAGATAGACATATAGTATTGCGGACATTTCTTTAGATCATTTAAAGAGGAATTATTCTTTTGTACATATTTTTTGGGTGTCTTGCACCGTTTTCGCAGCGTATGCTTTTGAAACCAACAGAGATGAAAATTTCTCGACGTTTTTCACATTTCCCGCCGTATCTTTTCTTGTATTAGTCACAGTGCGATATGGCATAGGCTTTCTCAATAATGCTCTAACCAACACAAAAATATTTGTTCAATTCGAACACGTAGTTCCTGAGATCAGCGCGAACAAACAAACAAACAAAAAACTCTTCAGGTTTATATATTAGTATAGATAGATTTGACAAAGATCATAAAACCAAAAAATAAATGGTTCCCTTTTAACTGATTTTTATTAATAAAAATGTGTTTATAACGCAACGCATTTATATACCTTCACATAGTAAAAGCTATTTTTTATTTTAGGTGAGTCACCAGCAGCGATGCAGGGAAGTGCCCATTGGATCCAAAATTACACACTTTATTTTACACTACGCCTTATCGGCATGTTGTATATAATTAAGTGGTTGATTCCAGTCATCGTCAAATAAGAGTACTAAACGTTGTGTTTGAATTTTACAAAATATTGAATCACACCATATAATTGTAATGTAAGTATGTTGTAAATAATTTGGAAGCCCTGTATATTGTGATATTGTGACTGTTAAATTTGAGTGAATATGTATATTTATTATCAAAGATGTTTGTGGTATGAATTTTATTCCTATTTGAGTATGTTTTTGTATTGATTTTTAATTAAAATTCCAACGACCTAGGTAAGTTAATTCATTGTTTAATTCCCCCATTATCTGACTGAAGAAATAGCAGTCACAACTTTTGTATTTAATTATGATGTGAGACATCGAAATTAGATTATCTGTGCCAATGCACGGCTTATATCCTAAGTATCAGGGTAATTTGGTTTTTATTGTTTGACTCGATAACATTGTTGTAGCAACTCTATGTAGTATATCTATAGTCTAGTTATATTGTTTCGTCAAATTCAGAGTTGATTTCAATAAAAGATAAGTTTTTGATAAGCGCGTTTTATTTACTACTTATTTATGATAGGTTTTATGCTACTATTGTATTTATGTAAAAGAGGGAAAATAAGTTTACTCTCGTAACAAAATACTTGGCGTTCTGCCAACCAAATCTTTCACGTCTAAGGTAATTATATTAAAAATAAGGCATGTTTTTGTAGATAAACTTTCTAGTCCTTATCTTATCTAATCTTATCTTATTAACTATCTTTCCTACAAGGGACCAATTGTTTTAGTGTATTGTGTTTTAGTTTTATTTTTATTTGTACAGGTAAGAATTTTTATAAGATATAATAAGGACATAATAACACACACTTACACACAGATGCTTAATATACGATGCTGAAAGCTCGTCGTAAGTTAATGCACAGACAGCGTGATTATTTTTTCAGTCTATTTATATTTGTATTAGAGACTTCATCAAACCAATTTTATTTTTGCATGCCTCCTCTTTATCTATATAAAATTAAGCTGTTACCAACGAAGTCGGTTGCGTCCCGACATTCTTTCGAGGTAATCTTAAAAGATAGACATATAGTGTCTATGGACGTTTTTAGACCATTTAAAGATGAATATTTTTTTTAATGTCTTGAACCGTTTTCGCGATGTATGCATCGGAAACACACAAAGTGAATAATTTCCTCAGTTGTTTCCATATTTTCCGCTGTTTCTTCGCTCCTAGAAAATGTGACTAACATTTTCTAACCAACACAAAATGTTTTTTTTTCTTCGAACTAACAAACTCTTCAGCTATACATATTAGTATAGATGGATTAAGGAACTGCGAAATGGAGTCATGTGATATTGGTTCTCAAAGAATCTGCAACATCAAAGACGCCAAAGTCTTCAGTCCCCTTAAAATGCTGAGCTGATTTTAATGAACGTGTTTTGGTGAACGACGAATTTGTTTAACGCATTAAACATTTTTAGCCTTGAACCACTAGCCACTTTACTATACTAGTTACATGTTTGATATTGAAATAACGGTTTATGTTAGTATGTTACAAAAATAATAGTAATACAGTTGTACTTTTTTTCTTAGTCGGGTCAAATGATAGCAATGCAATCGAACGGATCGATTCCCATTTTATATACAGTAATAATTTCTGAAACATGTTGTCTGCAATTCCACAGATTAAAAAGCTGTAATTAAATGATTAAACTGAACTACTGTTTATATTTAAAAGAGCTATTAGCTAAGCTATATAATAAATGTGGGTAATGTTAAAACTCTGATCAACCTTTAAGCTAATATAAGTCTATGTGTTTAAGGAAAACCGTACAACAGTTAATTTGAACCGATCGAGCGTCACAAAAAAAAGTAGGGACCACTTAAAAGAGTGTTTCACAAAGTACTTTCCACCGTTTTCCCCACCTCGTTTCACAGGTATCTTGGTGTTTCTGCCGGAGGCGTGGTACGCTCGAATGGACCTAATCGAAAACTAGCCGACTGAAAAGAACGTGCTTTTCAGCAGACCGTATTTAGGTTTCAGTATAACTTTTAAGTATAAACATTTTAACGGTTTAAAACGCGATATAAACTTATTTGAAAAAGATCTTTAACTTCGGCCCGACGTTGCGGATGCTTTGCATCCTCAAATAATGCATTTTCAAATAAGTTTAACTAATATATAGCGTTTTAAACTGTTAAAGTGTTTATCTAAAGGTGTACTACTCGCGTAAACTATAGTATAGAAGTATAGGTATAGACAGTATTTCATCTTAGCATTGAAAAACTATCGGTATATAGTCGGGACTCTAATCTACGACCCTGTTTCGTGCTACTGGATTTAATAACTTAAATTTTGAGATTGTAAAAATTACATTGCAATTATCTAAAGTAGAATGTCTTCTGTAAGTAGGTATTAAGTTATCCAGTATAAATAGTTGTAATAGATTATAGTTAATCTTTAATTGCACCTAAAATGTCTATCTCCAAAGCTTTATGATTAAACTCGTTGCCTAGCAGTGTGTTATAACGGTCCAGGGATCAAATCCCGGGTAAACGATAATTTATTTCGGTACGGCAGAACATAAAAGTCTGATTAATTTCCCATCCCAGGGGCGTTTCCCTTTTGGGTTTGTCTTGGGGGACAACTCATAAGGGTAAATAGCAAAAAAAATAGCAATCATAAGAATAGAAGCATTTCTGTATTAATTAAAAATATTCTTTATTATTTTAAGTTTGGTTTAGTTGCTGAGCGAGAAAGTAATTTTTAACATTAGTATAAAAATGTATTATTATTAACGTAGTAATTTTTTTTTTGTAATACGGAAATCATATTTTTAAATTATATAGTGCCTTCATGTGCAATAACATGTAAAAAATAATACAGTTTTCAAAAATCATATTATTTTTAATAATAGAGAAGTTCAAACTAGCATGTGGTTTACTTGATAGTAGGTGAATTTAACTCCAGCATAAGGCATCTAAACAAGGTGCTCTGTCAACCTATTTTGGCTTTGAATATTCGGAACTCTGGAACCGAAACCGCGTGGGGATCGTACCCACGACTCGTTGATTGTTAGCAATAAATTGCTACCATTAGACTAACCAGCCCTTCGGTCGATAAGAATTTAAAAAAAAAAGACTTACAACCTCTTTCAAATTTACAAAATATTCGATTTATGTCGACGACAATTATATATCTCTGTTTACGAATTGCCCCCCTTGTTTAAAAAGGTTCCGTATTAAGCTGTTTGAGGGCTAGAAGCCGAAATTGTTCACATCGTTAAATTTAACCTATATCCTACAGCGTTAGGCCAGGGTTACTCCCTGGATTATCCCGGATTAGACAATGCTGATTTAGCTGAAAACCTTTTATTTGAGGTTGATGTGAACTCTGTGTAGTTTATCAGCTAATATAAATCCCTTGTGGGCGTACGCACCTTTATTTAGATCCGTAGCTTGTTTAATATTGACTAAAATAGTTTGCGATATGACTATGGATAGATCTATATTATACGTAATCTTCTTTTAAATTAAAATACAATTATAATGTCATCTACTTGTGGTGACTACACTTAGAGAATTATTTTCTCGATCACGACAGTGTTCGACTGTTCTGTACAAGTAAACCCAAGAAAAACAAAAATGAATTTGCCCCATACCCCATATAGGCTTTCCATACACATATTATACACGTATTTCTATTTTCTAAAAAAATGCTAGCTGTGCCCACGACTTCGTCCACGTGTAATTTTCGCCGTAACGATCGTCGTTACCGACGACGTTATACACATCCCGTAGTTCTAGCAAGTAAACTTAAAGACAGATTTTTTTAGATCAGTTAAAAGAATCATTTTTTTTACATATCATTCTTCGCTCCTATAAGTCACAGCGCCATGATTTTATAGCCTATAGCTTTCCTCAATAACTAACCGATTCAACACAAAATTATATATAAAAAAAAATTAATTCGAACCAGTTGTCCCTGAGCTTAGCGCGTTCAAACAAACTCTTCAGCCTTATAATATTAGCACAGATTTTTAAACTTTTAATTATTTACTTCTTAACTTCGTATTTGACTATGTAAAATTTTCATACACTCTCAGAAAAATACGCGAACCGTTATGGCAGCAAACTTTGTCATATTCTCATGTGTACTTTGAAAGTTTAGTAAAAGTAAGGACGAGTTCCGAACAGACTAAACTGTGATAATGACGTTTCCGTGGAGTTACGCGAGTGACAAAGGCTTTATTTGTCTGTTTATTAGAAGGGAGGCCGTCAAGCAAATATGCACCTTACGCTATTGTAATAGAGTCCTCTGCTAACTAACTTCATTGTTTTCTTTATGCCTCGGGAAGTTTTCTTTCAATTACTGTCAACATCTTGTCCACTAATGTCAAGCTTATCATTCATAACTGAGAGTAGGTACATGGAAAAGAAATACCTAAATATAAAATGAATTAGTTTTTTTAATTCTTTTTCCCCGGATGCTTCTTTCGAGACAATTTTTTAAAGGCGTCCCGTTTCCTCACCTCTGCGGCCCTTCCTAACCAGTACAGTATATGAAGCATCCAAAATTATCCTTATTCAATGACTATTGATATATCGACATTATAGTCCGTCGCCATTATACGACGCGTTAATATTCAACAAATAATATAACCACATAACATGATCTAAAATATAAATATGAGATTATGAGATAACAGTATTTATTGACATTTTGATTTGTTAGACCTAGATTTGGGAAACTGGTGATTAGTAAAATTTTGGTAGTAAATGTAAGGTTTGAGTTTATTTTCTATTTTTAACGTTTATAAGTGCACTTTGTGCAGTACTGTCTGTAGTTTACGCAAGTACTATTAGTTAAAAAACTTTAATTTTTTCACATGTGCCAGAGCCATCATGTGCAATAACATGTGAAAAATATTTAAGTTTTCAAACGTCTGCAAACTAGGTAAAATGGTTGGCATATTGAAATATTGAAGTTCAGATGTTATAAACCGTGTTTTTGTGTAGATTCCGACGCCAGTGTTGAATGTTTAATTGTTTCAGTGAA